ATTAAGGGATATTAGGACATTTCAGTGCAAACTGAGCTTTCTTCAAGCTTCCTGAAGACCGTGCAGGCAGAATTACAGCCTCAGCATGGATGTGCCCATGCTGCCATCACAGCACTAGGACCAGCCACCAGCCATGCAGAGAGCCCTCAGTTTTTACATACAGTACTTTTACATCACAACACAATCATTTCCATGCCAAAACTCTTACGAATATTTCTTGTGATTTCTTGTGTACCACAGATTTCTGAAATGTTCCTTCTCATTTTAAACATATAAGAACTTGCACTGTTTCCTCAGATGTAATGCCCAAATGGGGCAGGTCTGTGCTAGCTTACATTTTAAATTGTATGGTTTTCTTTGATAGGTTTTTACTTCAGGAAATGAATTTCAGAAGGTCCCTTTATACGTGGAGATATTGATCCATGAAAGCCTTGGCTTTATTGTTATGATCATTATTACTACTATTATTATTTACCATCCATGATATTCTGTAAACTAAAGGAGGAGAGATTTAGATGAGGCATCAGGTGCAAATTTTTCTCTGAGACAGCGGTGAGGCACAGACTGCCCATAGAGCTGGGGGTGTCCCATCCCTATAGGCATTCAAACCCAGGTCGGCTGGGACCCTGGGCAGACTCATCAGGTGGGTGGCAGCCCTGCTCACGGCAGAGGGTTGGAACTGGATGGGCTTTAAGGTCCCTTCCATCCCAAGCCTTTCTATGATTTTTTGCACAACCAGACTTTGTCCGGAGCTCTGCTGTTGCACAGTTTCTCCAGCAAGGGGTAGCAGAGATCTTCATCTGAACCCTGAAACCACTTTACCGTAAGGACTTTCTTGCAAAGCTGCTTCTTGAAGTCCGGGTTCTACAGGTTTCTGTGTGTCTGGGCCACCTAGAAAGGCTGAATCAAATAAATGCTCAAGATGCAGGCTGCTCTGATGCCACACCTGTGGTATTGGGTCAGGAGAACATACTAAGATGGGTTCATTTGGAGGAGACAGGGAAATAGTGATTTGTTTCCCATTACTGTATACAAATATATATATATATGTGATAACTTCTGGTTTTTGTGGTAGCATAACATGTCACATCCTGTAAGTGTGTCTTGCGACAGTCTCACAGGTGCTCATACTACAGTATGACCCCTTTTGCCCTCACTTTCTGAGCAACCATCAGACCCCTGCAGCCCCAAAGGAGCCGTGATCTGACCTAAGGGCTGCCAATGAACACCGTGAAAATCCCAAGTGATGTTTTTCCCTTCTTAGTGCCCTTCACACATGTGCACATCACAAGCCTGATTGTAGATGCGGGTTGACGGAGGAACTGCAGGGTCCCAGTATGCCCCCACTGCACTGTCAGAAGCTCCAGCTGCTGCAGTGGGTTTATTGAACAAGAGAATAAGGAGCAGTGTGGCTTACTGAGCTGCAGCTCCCTGAGACTCAGATCAACTGTCACAGCTAAGTGGGAAGCATTTCTCGCTCTGCTACAGCCCCTGAAAGGGAAGGATTTTTGGTGTTTGCTGAGATTCATGTGTTGGGCATCAGTGCTGCTTTAGGTTTGGTAACCGCCTGCATTTAATCTTCCTGTCAAATCTGACAAAGCTTTTTCCTGGGGCCTGTGTTTACCTGTCTACCTAGAGAAACTGATGCAGTGAGTAGATAAGTCAGCCTTCGCACCTAGGAGGAAGCAGGGAGTCTGCAGGCAAAGGAAAAAAGCTCTAAGTGAGCAAGTACTGAAAGAAATAGCAGGTGTTCAAACACCTGAAGAAGAGCAATATGTCTTTGCCAGTACCCCACACACAAATGTTCACAGATTATTTCCTCACACAATTCCCAGTGCATGAGTAACTTGGGGTTTCCTCTCCTCTGTAGAACTGCACTTGTGTACCTCTAAGTGCAGCCTTTTCAAGTGCCCATGTCCTCCTCCATTAGCCAAAGCTGCTGCCAGAATCATGGAAAAATAAAGGAAAGGCCATCTTCTTTCTCATGTCTTAATGCATGAACTCAATGCCAGAATCCCTGTTATCCAGGGACACAGTGCACAAGCTTTGCCAGGTGACAGAGAACACAAGACGCAGCTGCTCACCATACCTGGGTCCTTCCTGGGATGCAACCTGCCCTCTCACTGCTCAGTCATACAGCATTTGGTAAGATCTGCCTTACCCAAATCCAGCACCCAAGTACATCTAGAAAACTAGGAGAGCTTTTCTGAAAACCTGCTCTTGCAGAAAAACTGCTGGCTTTTCATTTGTCTGTATTGCCCACTGAGTGCGAGTCTGGCCAGCATCTCACACAGCTGTGTGTAGGATGATCCAGTCGGGGCACCTGCTCAGCAGGACCACATCTGTGTATCAAAGTCCACATTTTCCCTCTGGCCTTAGCCACACTTGGCAGCCCACAGCCACGTTTGGCAGCCCATAGCTGTTGCTGTTGCTCTGTCTGCCTGCAATCCCACAGTACTGCACAGAATAACGTTTTCCTGAGTACAGCCTTTTCTCTGTCACCGTAACAAAGTTCACCTGTGCAAATACACCCTGCCACCTGCACCATGATGATGCTTGTTTTGGTATTAGCATTATTCTAAGTGCATATTCTGAAACTCCCACTGGTTAATTTTGCACTCACCACATCCTGTGTTGTATCACACATTGCTTTGCATAGAATTTGTTTTTGTTTAGCAGATTGATAGGTGTCTTTGTTGTCCTGTTCATGCTTTACAAGTGCTAACAGAAAGTTTGCAGCCCGTTTTCTCAAATTTTATTCAAAATTGGCATTAACTCTCAAAAATCTTCAGGGAGCTTTTAGAAACCTCTTGTGCATTACCTTAGGAATATTTAATACTAGAAAATGATATTCAGCAACTTTGATTTTAATGTAAAATAATAGAATAATTCATTAATCTTATAGGATTCTAATATGCCACCTAGTTTCTATAAGAAAGCTGAGGATAGAGATTTAGTGGGTACTGCTGGCTTTTTTTTTTCCCTCCACTGCAGGAATATTAGATATTTTGGAAGATAACTTCATATGATAAAAGATCTATAACCACTTCAGGATTTCCTTTGTTCTCAGAACATTTTTATCATATTATCCGTCTCAACAGTGTTGAGTCATAGATCTGCCAGTACTCCTTCTAGCTCCCAGTACAGCCTCCTCTTCTTCCCTTTGGGGGTGCATTTGCAGGAGCACTTGCAGACAGTCTATACCCTCATTATTCTAACTGTATGTCTGCAGAGCTCTCCTCAATTTGGATATTTTTCAAAGGATAAATATTTTTAGCTACTGAAAAACTATGGTAACTTTCATAATGTGTAGGGAAGGTTTGTTTGTGGACAGCTTTCCTCATTACATTTACACTGTCAGGTAAGGACTGCAGTGTGTATGCCCACTACAGATTTACTCTGGTTCTGCTCCTATCTAATATATAAGGGTATAATCTGATAGCACAGGAACTTCTGCTTGCTTGGCTGAACCCAGCCGTGCCCATCAGCACAAGCTAGGAACGTAGAGGAACAAATCACAGCCATATCACTAAAAAAAGTGATATGGCCAAAACCACAGGGAAACTGCAGCAAGATTCCTCCCATTTAGGCCAAATCCCCAGCCTTAGGCTGCATAAACATCCTCCCCCAAGCTCGCATGTAAGCACATACCCATACACGTGGGAACTGCACTGCCCAGCCTCTGAGGGAACCAGAGATATGCAGTGATGTCCCAGGACTCATGTTCCAGCAATTAAATTAAAAAAAAAAAAAAATTCTTTTCCGCATTTTCTCTTCTTGTCAGTACAAAGCCTAGTGAGCACAGTGAAGTCCTGGGTGGCTGGTTTTGTTGCAGCACTAAAATGTGGGACGATTATTATCTTGGAAGAGAGGAGGAGGCCTAGAGAAGGTATCTGAATTATTCAGCTCTCTATAATAGGAAGAGAGCTGCTCTTTTCTGCTTCACAGGCACCTACTGGAATTATGATCTGATTAAAATGGAAACAAGTTTTGGCCTTTACAGTTCTCTGCTCTCTGAGGAACAGAGGCTTGGAGAAGCTTTTTAAAAAGCTTTGCTAAAACAGGAGCAGAGCAGCATCTGCTGGCTTAGCATTCTGCCTCCAGTTTACAGGCCCAGAGAAGACCACAGGCTGCTTCCATGGGACCAAGGAAAGGAAGAAAAGGAAAACTGAGCCAAAGCTCTGCCTAAATTCTCTGTGATGCTACCTGTCTGCCCAGGTAGCTGAAGAAACCTGGAGTCCTCAGCAGAATATTGGTGGAAAGCTATGAAGCACTGCATTGAAAACAGGGGAAAAATGGGCCCTTCTTGAAGGTTTTAAAGAAACATGAGGGGGAGCAAGACTGTTGGGTGGCCCCTTCCCTTCCCAACAGTGGAGGGAAGACTGCCTTTGTATGATGAGACCTGCTTTCAAGGGCAGTAAGGACATGTGGAAGCAGCCTAGAAAGACTAGAAAGCCATACCTAACAGCATGTGTTAGATCTTTCATGCAGCTGAAACGAGGTAGAAGCAGAACCTTTTCTTAACCTGGAATAGTCTCAGGACAATGGATCTTGCTGGAAATACAGAGAGCCTTTTGATGACTTGTTTGAGATCTGTCTTGAGGGGTTCAAAGAAGCACAGGGGATTTATCCACATTTAAATTGCTACATGAGAGAGGCATGGCCATGTTCCTAGTTACCACTGAGAATTTTAGCCTTGGTTCATCCAGGACATACCAGCATGCATGCACCCTCCTCTAGCTACAGGGAGGTTACGTGCTCCTTCCACAGGATCTTATAGTGTTGCACACAAGCAAGCAGGTCCAGGGAATCTCTGGCTGACAGCAACAGCATTCCAGCTGAGAAGTACAGGCAAGGAAGACTTAGGAAGTAGCATATGGACTCTGAGCGAGTGCTGTGAGGTAGAATGACAGGGATTAGGTGGGAAGTTCAGCAAGACTGAAAAAGTATTAAAAAAAAAAAAAAACACACAACCTGGAATCTCTCTCAGGCTTTTCTCAGGGAAATGGCCCAGAAGGGACCTACTGGGGATGTTTAATTCTCACTCCCTAAAGCAGGAAAATTGTACACCGGTGCAGTAGGCTTCCCGTGAGGCAGATAGTTTTTCCATTCTTAGAGATTCACTGTACCAAGGATGAGTTATTCACCTGGAATTGTTACCAGAGGCATGAGATACAGTATTCACTTTCTGCTAATTATTATTCCCAGTTTAGAAATTTCAGGACTGCAGTCAGAGAAAGAAACAACGTGTATTGACCAGCTACATACCCGCAGGCACAAACTGTGATGCACGGATGCAAAACAATCTGAAAAAAAACAAAAAAAAAAGGCTGAAAATTGTTCAGCCTAACAGTCAGAATGCTGTTATTCTCAAGGACGAGAGCTGCTTGCAACAACTGTGTTTTAGCCATATGCCTTTGAGTTAAGGCAAAATGGAACAGACCTGTATCAGGACACCAGAGTCTCATCTCCCATGCTTCTGGGTTAACATGAAGCTGAAAGCACCCTGGAGGCAGCAGCTGCTGGTAAAACCCAAGAATATCACCAATTGGCACAGATATCCTCCAAACCTTGAATAATCACATGAACATAGAAGAGAGCACTCAATGGAAAGCTCTCTCCTACAGCATCTTCCAAATGATTAAATTACTGCAATGAATGGTTTTCCTTGGCAGAGCCTCTGTAGCTTCGGTCTTTGTTGTTCTAAATTCACCCTCTTCCATCCCTCAGCGTTTTTTTTCCCCACTCAGATCTGCAGGAAATGGAGCTAATATTTCATTTTATCTGCCAGCTTGTTGTTCCACAAAGCAGCATGTGAGAAAATAAATGTGACTGTATCCTGACCTGCCTGCCAAAAAATCTGACCCTCTCCTTCCACAAATGCACACATTTCTTGACTTGTTTCTTTGAGGAAGAACAGTGCAAAGCCAGATGAGACCAGAAGAGAGAATGAGTTCATGAGGAAGGATATTCCCATATTCCCATTTCACCAGTGGCTTTTAATAAATAAATACAGCAATTAATAATTAATAGACCTAAACTTAAAGTCCTTACTCCAGGCAAAATTCTCCTTCAATACAGGTTTTGCTCAAGCAAAATATAGGTCAGAAATGCAGATCTAGCATGAAGAAGATGTTAATAAATAATAATAGCGGGTTGACCCACCCCTCCCAGAAGAAACATTAACTGGAAGGGCCCCATAGGAAGTCTGTATTATTCTGCTGGATTTTCTTCAAAGCTAGGGAAAGCAGAAAACTAATGCACAGTCTGAGTCTCTCCAACACAAAAATGCATTCATAAGTGCAGCTGGGGAATGGTACTAGAAGGCCTCATGAACCCCACTTCATATAGTGAAAAAGATGACCTGCAGAATTTCCATGGTGAAAGAAACCATAATATCACCAGGCTCACTGCTAATTCCATATGGAAGAATAATCTACAAACTATCCAGAGGAATTTTTTCACTTGCTGCCTAAAAGCATGGCTAACAGCTTCGGACTAAAAGCAACACAAATATTGGGTAGACTTGGATTTTCCCACAACTGAAATCAAAGCTCCAGCTGATAATGGTTTAACTCAAAAGACTATGAGGATACCTTGCTGTAATGCTATAATGCAATAGAAAGCACAGCAATAACAGCAGGGCAGAAAAATCCTGTGTTGCACCAAGTGAGAACAAGCCCAAAAGCAGCAGCAGCAGCCATGAACACAGAAACAAAGGAAAAGAAAAAGCTACTTACACTTAGAAGACCTCAGTTATGCAGGAACCTCCAGCAAGATACCCTCACCTCCCACTGCCAACCCTTACATGAAGTCTGGGAAGGGATAGATCCTGTCTCTACTCCTTCCAGTCACTTTGGTGCATTGCATGCAGCTGAGCTTCTCTGGGTTGGCCCTGCCTTCCCACCAGGTGCTCAATCAGGCCCTGACTTAGCATTTCCAGTACACCTGCTCACTGCTACCTCTTCTTACTCTTTTTTCTTCCAATTTTACTTTGAAGAGTGACACTACAATCTTAGGTGGAAAAATCAGATGAAACTGAGTAAGGAACAGAATCTAAACAGTCAGGATTTCAGACTATTTTTGTTACTTCCTTTTTAAATTCTCTAGTTCTGGATATTCCTCTGTTTTCCAACTAACTTGTCATCCAATAAATCTGTTCTTTTGTCTGGCTTTCCTTCTCCCAGCTTTCCTAACACCTACACAGTGTTTCCCCACAAGCTCTCCAGCCGTGCTCAGTCCCCTCTCCTGCCCTGACCATGCTGCACACTCCCTGCTGTAGACTCCTTTTGTGTCATTTAAAGTTCCATCCTTACCTCCAGGACTCCTGTCTGTCCCACTTATCAGCAGCCATAATGCGTTGGACTGTCTGTCCTCCTTGCTCCTGATGCCAGCCTAAACTTTGCTGGTCTGCTTCTTGCAGATCTCCTGAATTATATACACAACTGCTTTCCTGAGCTAAGCCAGGAGCCTTCACTTTCTTCAGATGTCCCATTACAAATCATATTCCTGCTGTTTGGAAAGACAGTAAATGAACAGAAAGACCAAACAATAGGCTGATGACAAAGCTGTCTCTTTAAGTTAGAAAGATCAAAGGAAACTCAAAGCAATTTCATGTAGGATCCAACTGGTAAATGGCAACAAAAGAAATTCAATGTCTTTTTTATTAATTTTTTTTAAAGGCTTAATGCAGAAAGGCTCTTCAACTCTTCGTACAGTATAAAAACCTACATGTTACCTCTGTCAGCTAGGGAAAAAAACAAGGCATCATTGCAGACAGTTCAAAAAAGGAATTTTTGACCTCATTCAGAAAAGCTGGCTGTGGCAGGCACAAGAAGAGGAGGATAGAGTAATGCATTGAAACATTCCTGTGACATACAAGTTAAGAGACATAGGGTCAACCAGGTCTGGGGATCCAGCTCTGTCCTGGGAACAGGAGACAAGTACCTTTAATCAGCAGATGACAGGAGACAATATGCAACAGCAATATCTTTTCCTCCAGCAGAGTGACTCATTCAGCCGTGGCTGCCAGCTGGGGCTCATTAATTGCTTTAGATATTGAGGAGGCAGAATGATATGTGATCTGCTGAGAAAATATTAATTGCATAAAAAGCTAAACGTAGAAAGGAAATTCACTTCATGAGATGAGTGTTTTGAGAAGGTGGCAGCTCTAGTGCTGGGGCAAGTGGATATTGCAGGAAGCCCTGGGTGTTACAGTACAGCAAGCAGTTAAACACATGCTCCTGGCTGAGCTGTGTTTATAAACTGAGCAGCCTGTGGATCACTCACCCTGAGCACACTTGAGATTTCATCGCCTTGACATATTCACTGCCATATAAACAAAGCCTCCAACACGATTATATCCTGGGCTGCACCAGGGATGGGTTGGCTTTATGGCAAGGACAAGGCTCTGGAGAGCCATGGCAGGGGACCTTCCGGAGTGAAGAGGCATGGCCCCTGCCCAGGGGAGTGCTCTCTGACATGGAATCATAGAATATCCCAAGTTGGAAGGAACCTGTGAGGATCAAAACAGGTGAAGATAGCAGTCAGGAAGGATGCTAATACAAAATATAAGTTTGAAGACTTCCGTCATCCAGCCTTGAAATATCTCACAAATTAGTTCTGGCTAGATTTTCTTTCCCTTATCCTTCTACCACCTATCTTTCTACTCCTAATTACAGTGATGTTTCCACGTATAGTGAGGCTGGTTGCTGTAGCAAGAATAACTCTCATCCACAGAGCTTTGCACCAGGGACTCAGGGATGACAGGGAAATGAGGTGGCCTCTGCTCACATAGCAGATGAGACCACCACGTCCTGCAGCAGATTCCAGACTTTCCAATCTCATTCTAGTGCCTCAGCCTTTGTGTTACACATGATCTACTTGAGTTTCCTTAGTAAAAAATATCCTCTCACATGGGAAACAGAGACTGCAAAAATGAAGAGGAGCTGATTCAGATTCAAATGTCCCTGCAGAACAATTGGTGCTATTTATAAAAAATGCACTTGCTGCAGTGTATAATTAGAAGCCTTGCCTTCCACACACAAATTGGAGATAATGACTCTGAAAGAAAGCAAAAAGAATCCAAACTGAACAATTTCTGCCCTGAAACACACACTTGCTAAAAACTTGTTCATCTTTTCCCTCAAGTCTGCTTTGGAGCCTGTGCACTTGTGCCCCAGCTAAGCGGCTGGTAGGCCACGGGCATGGAAGCATCACAATGTGTGGGAGCTGATTTTAATTAAATCTGGCAGGTAGCAAAGCTCTTGGAATCCTGACACCCTCTATGTTGTGGTGTAGGCGGATAGCAGACCATTCAGGATCTCAGCCCCTGACAGCAGGTGAGGGACTGCCAGCTGCATTGATTTGCCAGGTGAACTCTGCTTACAAAGCATAAATTTGTAATAATCAAATTATTTTCATATATACAGAGCTGTACAAAACTAAAAAAAGTAATGCTTTAAGCAGAGTGGAGGGAATATTCACAATTTCCCTTCAAGTGCAGCTCTTTCTTTGCTTCTATTTTGGAGAGAAGTGCTATTGATTAGTATAAGTGTCTAGTCTGGAGGTCACACAAATGGCTAGAAGTAGCACTTGAAATAGAAACCAGGAAACTTCTTTTTCAGTCTGCCTGTTCTATGCCATTCATTTTGTCATTCATTTTAATAGGACGAGAGGTAATGGCCTCAAGTTGCATCAGGGGAGGTTCGGGTTGGATTTTAGGAAAGTTTCTTCTCAGAAAGAGTGGAGAAGCATTGGAATGGGCTGCCCTGGGAGCTGGTGGAGTCACCGTCCCTGGAGGTATACAGAAACGTGTACATGTGGTACTAAGGGACAGGGTTTAGAGGACAGTATTGATAGTAGGTGTATGGTTGTACTAGGTTATCTGAGAGGTCTTTTCCAATCTTAATGATTCTGTGATTTTCCTCCTCTGTGAAATGGGAATAATAAAAACTACCACGGGAGCAAAATGGATTTTTGATGATGGAATGCTTTGAAAGGTCACTAGGAAAACATTTCCCTCTTCATGCTCAGCTTTGCATTGGCTCCCCTTCTCCACTGACAACAGGCTCTCACATCTCTTGTCCCAAGGAAACATGTTATTTTCATTTCTGACTTACTGGGTGCCAGGAACTCCTGCCAGCCATAGGGCTTCCCAAGCATCTTTTGATGAGAGATGGGAGAATCCCTTCTGCATGCCAGATGCATAGCACCAGGCTGGGCCTTTCTGCTAACCTGCTTTTCTGCCCAGCTTTCCCTGACAAGGTATAGAGCAAGGCAGTGGCTCTCAGTCCCAGTAGCTCTCTCCGAAATCAGAATACACACCACTGCTGAACACATGTTCACTCCTGATCCCTCAGCTGCTGCTGTAGCACCACAGCAAATACTCTTGTCACAAGATACTTGATGTGTTGCACCTCCAGCCAGGGACCATTCTTTACCATGCTCATTTACCAGAGGGAAGATGGGGCTGGGGTGTCACTTGTAACCTTCAGTGTGATTTCATTCATT